TATAAACATAAATAAATATCTGTGGAGTTACATGACATTACAAGTTTTGAAAATAAAACATGAGTGAGAGAAATTTTTAAACTTCAAACTGCCATATCTCGAAAGTGATTGGATGTGCATTGGATCCTTTTTGCTTAACTACGTCCAATTATAAGAAACTAGTCGAGTAATTTCACAAAAATAATTTAGTTAAACATCGTGATATTCAATAAAGTTAATATTACAAGAATGTTATCTGAATTCTAGAATTCGGTCGAGTAATAATTACTTGTTTGATAGTAATTATTTTGGACTTATGTCGGACGGAGAACGGGAATACACCCTCAGACGCGAGTTACTTTCGCATTTATAATATTAGTTTGGATTACAATAGATAAAACGCCTATGACATGGTATTTTGTTGAATCACTTCTATTGACAACATTCTTGTAATATTAACTTTATTGTATACACGACGTTTAACTACCATGATATTAAATTATTTTTTTGAAATTACTTCACCAGTTTGTTATAATTATCAACCGTGTTATGGCGTGAGTCGAGTAGAAGACTTTTTCTTTTTAATTACTGGCGGTGCCCTTTTAGGATTTCGCCTAGCACCAAGTGTTTCGCTAAGACGGGTATAATGTAAGAAATATAAAAAACATGGCGATCGTCGCCACTGTCCAACGGATTAAGTAAATTTTATCGATTCCTGTGGCGTCGATAATTCAGTAAGTTTTGTGGGGGTACTTTGTTACAGAGAACAAGCTCATGTAATGAACTTTGAATTTTGGAGTTGCAGACCTGAAGGCTTACAAAAAGTCACATGATGCGAATGAAGTTTCATACTTGACGTTGTCTTTTGAGCACGGGTCGGGCACGGGTCTCCTGCTGGCCCAATGCGGGTTGGGGACTTCACACGTTTTTCGAGGGTTGTGAACCTTTTTCAACGTGCAGGTTTCATCATGTTTTCCTACACCGAAAAAAAGCTAGTGATAAATTTCAAATTGAATTTCGCACATAAATTCTGAGAAACTCAGAGATGCGAGACCGGATTCGAAACCACGACCCTCTGCTTGAGAGGCCGTAGGTCAAACCATTAAGACTACCACGGTTTCCAGTATACCAGCCCCCGTAGCATGGATATGCATGATAGTCGCGACATGTGAGATAAAATTGAAATAAGCGCGCCCTATTGGCTATCTAAATTAGATCTGATTGAGACAGCCAATAGCGCGCGTTTATTTCAATTTTATCGCGCGCGACGCGACTTTCATGCGTAGCCATGTTACGGGGGCAGCATTACTTATTTAACAGTAATTGTTTCGCACGGATGTCGGACAGAGAATGGGAGTAGACCAGGGAGTCTACAGGGGTTACGTTTTCACGCCGCTTTTAAACTCAGCGGGTCTGAAATTGACTCAGCGGTTTACCGTTGCATTAATATTGATGAATTTTGGTATAGCGATCAATGATACCTAGAAAAAGGACATGGGCTACTTTATGTCACAAAAATAAACCTTAAAGTAGGTGTAATGGGGGACGAAAGTTTGTATGGAGAATCAATAAAATTATCAAAATTACTAATAACTAATTAATAGTGGACGAAGTCGAAGTTATATATATATATATATATATATATATATATAACATCAAGTGACGGGACGAACAAGTCGTGCGCCTGATGGTAGGCTATACGCCTGTCCGCGTCCATATCAGTTACAGTGCCACTCAGAGCTTTAAATTGCAAGATCTGAGGAGCAATACCACTGCGCCCGTCACCCTGAGACATAAGGTGACAAGTCCCATGTGCCTGTAATTTCACCAGCACCCTTACCCGTCAAAACCGGAATACAGTAATGCTGACATTACTACTTGGCGGTAGAAATAGGTAAGGTGGCAGTACAACCCTGGACGAACTCTCACAGGGAGCTCTAATGCTACTAATAATATAAATAAATAATACTATATGTTCATTATAACGCACATAACGCACACACTCAACATAGCCCCGCACTAGGGAAACCCTGTATCGCGGGTGCCATGGGCACACACATAGACAACCACAAATTACACCCAAACTCACGAGAGAAATAAATATAGGCCATACAAATATTTCTCCCGGCCCGGGAATCGAACCCGGGGACCTCTGCGTGGCAGTCCGGTATGGTAACCGTTCGGCCACGGAGGCATTGTGACTGTTTGTTGCTAGAAATATTTTAAAATAATGACAATGAGCACAAAACCAACTAACAACGGAACTATGTCGTTGCTTTTGTTCAAATAACAAAAATGAAATGTTTTATTCAAACGTAAATGTAATTTATATCCGTATTGACGACCTCGGAGACTCAGCGGTTTGCACTGTGGGCGCTGGTGCTGGGTTGGAAACCCAGTGGGACCAATTTGGGAACTGAACTTTTCTAAATTGATTCTGCTCTGCGTGTTCTGGGTAGTACCCCAAAGTGAAATCCATTGGTCTGGTACTCATAGTACTGGGAACTTTCTAGTTTGAGACCAGGTAATCGGTAGGCTGATTTCACATCATATTTCCTTCATATTCACACCCTTGATAAGAAATGTAAAATAAATAGAAAGTGTTGCCTTCTCCTGATTAATCTCTCTTTGAGAAAGAAAGGCTTTTTGAGAAGAAAATATTATTTATTACAGATAAAACAACAAACAAACTATCAAGTGAACAACTAAACAAAACTCGATCTCGTATTTCCTTATCGTTTACTAGGAACTTGCGATATTTGAAACAATAAAACCGTTGAAGCATTTCATCGTAAACCTTCTTAGATATTCATAAAGTTCAAATCGAAACAATAAGTGTGATGCAATCATTGTGCGTGACCAGTTGTTAAAATTTTGATATTAATCATGGGGTATCCCGCCATGCGGAAAGCAGTGTATGTTGCGTTCCATTTACATAGTATTTGTATGAACAAAATCATCCTCATTATCACTAATTCATTACACGTCCCGCTGCAAGGCATGGTTCTCCACTAAGGCGAGAGTTTAGGCTATAATCCGCCATGCTAGACTAATGCGGGTTTATTTTTTGTACAATTAGTCTCCATTGCAAGAATAAAGTTGTTTAGTGTGGACACATTTACTCGGATTTTTCTAACAGTGTGATTAGATCGATTTGTTGCCCTCAAAAATACCTACAAAGCAAGTTTTGTCCTAATTTCGCATGCTCCTCCATTGCATGTAAGTAGAGCAACACAATACATATCTTAAATTGGTTTTGCTGAGAGTTGAACGAGAAACCTTGCAAGTAACAACTACAGTACCTACTTCTAAGCTTTCTTATGCTAAAGACATAAAACTTAAGCATTTAAAAATATCCTATTAAAAAAAGAAAGGGGATTTTAAATCACGAGGTGAACATTTGATTATTGAAGCAATCTTATGCAATAGTTTGTTAATAATAGAAAACGACGATGTTACGCATGTGTCTAGTAAATGCTTACCATTTTAGCCTTGAATAGCCCTTTTCTTTAGTTTACGGAGGGAAATGCCTTATGCATACCCTAGGCTGAAGGGTTATGTGAGACAGGCCTTCCAGGTGAAGGCTATACCCACTAAAATTCCCCCGGCTTGCGCGCGCTACATGTGAATGAGTGGACAGTCAATGACTCTAGAATGGCCTGTTCTGGACCTTCTAGTACTCGTAGACCAAAAGTGGAACGAACTAAATTGTGAAGTTCCTGGGCACACTCTCCGAAATGTATTTGATATGATTGAAATCTGATGACAGATCATTTTTCTGCGGTAATGGAACTTAGAAGCTTCGACTCCACAAGACAGTCGTTGCTAATAAGCGACTAATTAGTATCTGTTTTGCGCTACTCCGAGATCAACGCTGGTACGGGCAGAGCCCATCCAGAGGTGACGGCAGTATTCTATACACAGGCGAATTTGTGCTTGAAAATTATCTGGAAACTGTTTGATATCAAGTACGGTCTGACTCTGAACCTTATGAGGGTCAAATTAGGCATCCTTATGCCCAGTTTTTGGACAAAAGTTACTGGCAAGCACTCGATGTAGCGACCAATCTTGTGGCTGAGTGATAAACCTAAGCCTAGTTGCTCAAGATGGTCACTTATCGGTATGGACGCATATCAAAAAGTCACAGTGGGATAGAGGGCACTCCAAACCTGATCTTGACAGCATTCCCCAATCGGAAGCCGCTTTCAGGCACAGGTGCAACCGTGAGATCATTACCTTGGCGAATCTCTTTTGGCTTCTGACACATAGCTCCCTACTACTTTGCTGTCGTCTGCACACCCAAATACACCGGGCATCAGCAGCAGATCGTTGATGTGCAGCAAGAATAGTGTAGAATAAATGATCTCAACATTCGGTGGCCTTGTTGAGAATAAATGATGAGTCATAACTTAAATGCATCACAGTGAATTGTATCAACCATTCCATCGTTTCGATAAATGAGCTTAATTGTTACACATTTTGTTCATGGCTAGGGGTCGCCGGCTTGATGCCAGTGAAAATTCATATTTGTAACCTGTCATGGACATGCCCGAGAACAACGATCACACTAAACAAACTGTCAGTTTATTAAACTGGAAATTGAACACAGTGTGTATATATATATATATATATATATATATACACACACACACTGTGTGTATATATATATATTTCAAACCTAAATTTCCAAGGAAGTAAGAATACAAATAGAATGGATAACCGATAACGACTTCCTCTGAAATACCGGAATCATAATTGTTGTTGAGTCCAGTCTCTATGGATGACCAGCGGACTGACTGGCCCTAAAGACAGACTCACTAGAGTGACAGAAATTCAAAATTAGGCCGACTTTTTTTGGGCAGTTCTGACTAAACCTCAAACGAGTTCTACATATTGTACAAACAGAACGTAAAAATAAATGAATCTATATATTCGGATCAATACAGCGTACATTGTTTTTTTTCCAAACAAACCAACGTTTCGGGCTGTATACAGGTCCCATGGCCACGGCTGACTCAACAAAATACAATGCTTGTATTGTATGTTCCATATTTTTGATGGATAACTAGCAATTACTTAGCTACATATGTATAGTGTTTAAAAAAAAGTTTTGTAATTGTAAGTGAAAATATAAGTATTTTGTTTTGATTTTCTGCCTTTCACTTTTAATAATTCCGGGATAGTGTGGGCATAACAGAGAGAGGTATTATCCACTCTATGTGTATTGCATGAAGGATCGATAAATATATTTTGCATATTCGATCTGTGGTAATGACGTAATTTACAACTCAATAAATTTGATACATTATATATTATTATGTAAATGGTGGCCTACTGTGCCGCTCTTAGCACAGATATTTTGGAACTCGTGCGCAGATTTGAATTATTCATATCTCATCTATTTAAGGAAACTGAGGCTGTGTAAACGTTGACAGTAACAATATAATAAATAGTGTATCTAGTTTCATTGTGCCCGGCCAAAGTTTTGGCACAAAAGCATATTGTCTATTTTATAAGATGCACTAAATAATAATAAGAGTTAATTTAAGGGGCAAAATATAATTATGTATATACGTTTCTATCATAAGATTCCGGTTGATATTCAAAATTTGCCATTCACGAGGTTTAAAACTATGCGAAACAAAAACTGTATACTACAGGTTTATTATAAAGTTTCTGCGCACTCGGATGACAAAAATCCGTGGTAGTGACTCATAGCTCTTGCAGGTAGTCTCGTTCTATATGATGTTTGAAATAAATATTGTACCTAAATGATAAATGCAACCCCGACGAAGACGAATTTAGCAAGAGTTTCTTGTTAAAATTGTAGACAATCTGCTTTATGAATGAGCAGTAGAGGTTAATCAATTATATGTACGACAATTTCAAGTGTAATTTGCTTACCTATGAAACACAGATTATTTGAGTTTAACAAGAAAACGTAACAAGGTACAAAAAGTTTTTTTTAATATAATATTACCTAACACTTGTTGTTAACCGTGTAACCACGGCCCAAAAAACCCTATAAAACCTCCCACTGTCAGGAAACCCGGAAAGGAAGACAGGAGAAAAGTTCCAAATTGAAATATGATGTGCCGAAGATCAAGTTTACTTTTAACAGTAACTCGTGATATTTGCCAATATAGATATTTGTATATCATGTAAATAGTTTGTTGTTAGTATTAGAAATAGATTACGTAAACATTTTGCTGTTTATATCCTACCTTCGTGTAAGCTCTGTTATTCTTGTTCATGTATTCGGGTTTTTTCTGAGAAATAATCTCTAAAATGTTTACTATGGACCATCGACAATGAATATCACTGTATCCTGCCCCGGGGCATAGTGATATTCATTCAGTCTTCCATAATAAAACATTATCTAGGATCGGGTTGCCTTATCTATTTTGTTGATAATGTTGAACTTGCCGCGTACATTTTGGTAAGCAGTAGATCTCCTTGTGAGAGAGCTCGAATGTTAGCATTACTGTGTTTCGGTTTTGAAGGGTGCTGGTGAAATACAAGGCACATGGGACTTGTTAACTTATGTCTCAGGGTGACGGCGCAGTGGCAGTGCTCCTCAGATCTTTGCGATTTGAAGCTCAGAGTGGCACTGCAACTGTTATGGACAGGTGTGTAGATTACTGTCAGGCGCACGACTTGTTCGTCCCGTCACTGGATAGTATGAAAAAAATGTTTCGACTCATATTTTCTACGTCGTTTTAAATCAATATAAATATTGGCACAGTAACACTTAAAGCTCGTAATCGCGGTGTATAAGATGATAAAGAACACCGTAATAGAACAAACATATAATAGTGCTATAAAATAAAATTTATATGGCTTTATAAGAGAAAGAAAGCATTTTCAATGGCTGTTATAGTGTCAGTACAGTAGCAGTGTTTTTAAGAGCTTTTAAAGCGCAAGTGATTCGCGATAATTGTCTATATATAAGTTATTGTTACAAAACTTGCACTATAGAAGTAATTCAAAATATTATACAAGATAGATATGAAAAGGTATTGTTTAAAACGTAATAGTACAGCACAATTCTATACTTGTTGTGGCCGAGTTCGTTAGAATGCCGCAATTTAAATGTGAGAGATTATGGAAAACTAAATGCTTAAAACACTTATATATTTATAAGCAAAACGATATTATACAGCTGAAATATTTTGAGAATCTCACTATAGGATAAACGGTATTAACAAATGCTTTAATAAAGCATTATTTGTTGCAAATCTTTTAGTAAGAAAACGAAGTAAAATAAGCTTTTTCCATAATAGTTAGTTAATTATTTTTAGGCCACAGTTGCGACGTTTAAACTTCAAGTTTAACGTTCTGAAACAAATGATGGCGACAAGGACAAAAATGTGCGTTAAAAATATTTTATATTCACAGAAAATGTTAGTGTATTATGGTTAACTGCATTGCGTAAAGAACGTGATATTGTTGCGCTAAATTTTTATACAAGTTTCCTTTATGGCAATAACTAAATTATAATTTTTTTTTATGCCAACTGTGGCACAATACTTGGAGCTATATTGTTACAAAAATTATATAATAACTTTGAGAAAATAAATAATATTATGTTGCTGTTAAGAGGGGTATTATTTTTTTTCCTGTGAATGGACCGGCTAGTATCAGCAATTTTTATATATCGCACTGCTATTACAATAGTGTTGTAACTCAAAATATGTGAAATTTAATATTATATGGCACTGTTAATACAATAGTGCATTAACTCAAAAAGTGTATTTTCTCAGAATCGATCGAAAAATAAATTACTCGCTTCGATTGAAAGATCTGTGTAAATTTATGTATAAGTTATTTCCTACTTACCAAATATACATATTAAAAAATAAAAGAGAAAAAATAGTTTCATATTTTTATATAAGGATAATTTTGGTCAGAGCTAGCTCACATAAAGCGTGTCGCATTTTGAGTTAAGTAATTAATTAGATATATTTTAGTTGTTTTTTACAATATTCTAACGACATTTTTCTTGACGTGTAGAGAATCAAATTTTACATTCAGAAATGGTAAAATCTTTAATTTCACAAATTTTGAGTTATAACTCTATTGTAATAGCAGTGATTATCATTACTGAACGTAAAATTTTAATCTCTACACGTCAAAAATACCGTCGTTACAATATTGTAAGAAATAATCAAATCATATCCACTTCACTCAAAATGAGACACACTTTATATGAGCTAGTTTTGGCCAAAATAATCCTTATTCAAGAATATTAAATTATGTTTTCCATTTTATTGTTAAATATATTTGAGGAATTTTTTAAGTCTTTATAATAAACTATAACATACATAAATTTTAATGATTTTTTGCGGGAAGAGAGTAATTAGTTTTTCATTGATTCTGAGAAAGTTCTCTTTTTGAGTTAATACAGTATACTGTATTATCAGTGCGATATTTTCAAAATTATGGTAGCTTATACCGATTCCTCTCTGTTATCTGTATCTGTTTTTATTTTGTTTTTTTTATGGAATTAGTTTTTTTGGATTTCTTTTTTCGAATTTTTTTTGTATCTTTATTTAATTTTTTCACAAAACTTGGGGAACATAATGTTAGAAATAAAATCAATAAAAAAAAACTAAAATGACACAGGGCCTAGATCAAAAGATTCAAACCCCTTTGCTTTTACATAATTTTATTTAAACTTAATTCTAGCTGAATTTTATGATTCCTTAATTTTAGTTTTACACATCTTTACTAAACATAAATTATTATGTGCATGATGAGGACATCTGTCGGTTAAAAGTTAAGGTCAGAGAGGCTTTGTGTTATTTTTTTTTATTATACCAAGTGACGAGATGAACATGTCGTGCGCCCAATGTTATGCGACAGACCTGTCCATAGCAGTTGCAGTGCCACTCGAGCTTTAAATTGCAAAGATCTAAGGGGTACTGCCACAACACCCGTCATCCTAAGACATAAGTTGAAATGTCCTGATTGCAGATATAACTATAAAAATGTACTAGCAGCAAACTCTTCAAAATCTGTTCAGATCTGGGTCTGGTGACTCTGTTTGGTTTTGTACTTGCTGCTATTTGTTTTAGATTCCTTAGTTTGAGATGAGGTAATGTGTGTAATTTTATGGCACATACATCATTGTTATAACTTGCTTTAAGGTGGTGGCTCTGAGACAACAGTGCTGTTGTCATACAAATACAAAATAAATTTAATTTCCAAATTTAAAAAGCGAGAACAAGTAATGTTATCAAACAAAATTTTTACATTACTCCCTACAATGTAAATAATTCATTCCTTTTGCATGAAGACAGCACTGAGATGTACCAAGTTACTATGAAGAAAAACATGTGGGTTAGCCAACAAGTAGGCTCATGGTTCACAAAATTCTGGCTCGTACTCATATTGAACCCACATGGCAGAACTAGCCTCACACTAGACTAAATCTGTCATCAAGTCCCAAGTGGAGAGAGAGTACAGAAAGTGTATACTGTGACATGTGTAAGTACTTACAGCAAGCTCGAATTATGAAGCATCTGAACAATTTCTCCAACAGCACGGAGCTTGTCCTCAGAGATTTTAAGCCAGTAGTTGAATGCAGAAGTTAGTTTTGTACGGATTTGCTTGCCTGGTACTTGCTGGATGTATGTGTACGGCATCAAGATTTTCTAAAAAGAATTTATAAAAGTTTTAGCGAAGTCTGTTACAAAGAATAGACTTATAGGTAAAATATTACCATTATTTTTCAAAGATGCTTAAGGTATTTATGACAAAGTCAAAGCTGCAGGCAGTATATGGGTGAAACTAGTGCAGATTAGTGGAGGGCGGCACAAATTATAGTCAATTGTGTTTAGTTACTGGCTTCTCTTGGAGAATTCTGCCAGTGTCTAGTGAATCATGGGAGTTACACTTTTTACAGATTTGTAAATGTGATTACTTAACACTACTAGTAACTACTTAACACTGCTCTTTAAATTTATTTCAACTACTGTGGTTGTCCACAGTAGTTGAAATACATTGAAACAACACAATATATCAATATAGTTTAGTGTTATGTGTTATGGCATAACAGACATTTCATAGATTTTGTTAGAGCAGCATGTTTTAGGTTTTAACAACTGTTTTAAATATTTACGTCTTGCTTTAAAATTAAATTTAGATTTAATTAAGTTTAAGTTTTTGAATTGAATTTTAAACACAGAATACAAACATTTTTAAACAGTTGTTAAAACCTAAAACATCCTCCCCTGAAAAATCTACAGATTGTTACTTTGTACACCTGTATACAGCACTGGGTGAAGTCTGGCTGTAGATTATGAATGTTGGTTATGATCATCTCACAGGATTCCAATTGGGTTAATTAAGTTTTGGGCAGACTACTACCTATATGAAGAAAATTCCTAATCTCCTTAAAAACTTAAGAATAACTCTGAGTGCGTAGTACATACGAACTTTATTTAAAGTAAACAGAACAGTGTCTGCGCCGCCGCATGTGGCGCACTGCGTCATTTACTCGTTACTCGCCGATAAAATAAAACTGGCAGCATATCACGTTGCATATTCAATACCAGCGGCGAAAGTTTACTCCCTAATACTATTTATAACAGCAATAAAAGCATAAAACACGCACAAAAATAACCCAATACAAGACTATTATTCTTAACGAATGAAATTGTAAATGAAATTACTCTCACCTCGTCTTGAGCCTTTACGCCACTCTTTGTTAGCACGTGCGACATATTAACTTTAGAGAATTGACTGCGTAACAGCGAGAAATACCGAAAAATAGTAATTTTTGTGAAAAATCGATTTCTCAACCCACTGGAAAGAAGTCTTGACACAGAATGAATGAAATTAAATGAATGTAGTTGTGTGGGGGACGGCGGTCGATGGATTGTCACTTTGACGTGTGTAGTGTTGCTATTTTAAAGAAAGTAATTGGTAGGTCGTAGATCATAGAGAACTAACTGGGCTGGCACTGCCAACATTCGACGTGCATCTTATTTATTGTTGGTTGAGTCATGGGAAAATTTCCGTTTTGAAAAATTCATATTTTTCAGGAAAATGAACATATTTCAGGAAAATAAATATTTTTCCTATATTTTACCATATTTGACAGTTGACACCTGTTAATAGTTGAAAACATTTAAGAAGACAACGAAAACGATAGAGATTTTTTTACCTATGATTCTATTTTTTCGCTATTGTCTAATATGAATAACATTTTAAATGTCTTTTTACTGTAACTTGCTTTTAGCTGTATAATTATTTTATAATTGACGTTAAATAAAACTATAAAAGATATATCTCAATGTAGAACACAGACATATCTAGATATATGTTTATCCAATATTTCAGAAATTACGGAAATATTTCCGTAATATATATATATATATTTCTAATTGAAATTTTTCTTATTCGAACTTTTAATAAGGGAGTGAGAACGAACCTAATATGTAACAAAAAAACCAAGTCATAACGATTAGGCCTCAATAAAGGCTTGTTTCGTAAAGAATTCTATTTATTACTGAACTGTATAGGTACGCATTGGTCATTGTAAATTTTCTGCTGTTTTGTTACAGTATTTTTTTATTTAAATACACCATTCATAATCTTTTTTATTGGCCCCAAGTTTAATTTACAATTTATGTGCTGTTCACAGCGCAGGCGGCAATGTAAAGATGATTTAAAAATATATTATTCTCAATTTCCCAATACCACCCAGAAGCTTTTATATTATATTTTATATATAAAATATATAATATATATTTTATAAAATATATTTTATATATAAAACATAATATAAAGTTTATATGCATAAATGTATGCATATGTATGTATTTTATATTTATATTATATTTCGCAAAACTCATAGCTTTCGTAGTATTATGGGGAAATCCAGAGTTTATGTTTTTTGTCATAAAGGTATAAAAATTTACGTTTTTTGTTTAGTTCAATCATATTGATTTTTATTTGAATTAGATAATTAAGTCTTTTGTTAGCTTATCAAAGAGTACTTGGTTATATTGTCATTTTTATATTTTCTTTAAGGTTGATGGCCTTGTTTCTAAAACCAATAAATTAAAAAAATATATACAAAGAGAAGAGTTCAACCAACACACAACCAACACTCAAAATTGTTCCCGACCACAAACTAATAAGAGATACTACTTTTCGACCCTGCATGCTCATGCGGGGCTAGTCTTTTAAGTAGTTTTTGTGCGGGGCCTATGGGGATCTAAATCTTATCTTCTTCTCCTGCCTCTCAATTGACCCCGATACTTTCATATCCGAACTTCTGGCTATCAGTGTAATACCAAACTTTAATATGTATGCTGATATACGATAGTTACCCACTTTCTAATATAATCTGTAGTAGATATAATCTGTAATCCTTCTTTCAAAATCCTTTCATTGGCTAAATGTGAAGGCAAAGCCACTAATATTAAAAAAAAACAAACAAACAGCTGTTTTTATGTTTTTATGTTTTTATCATGGTTACGCAATGTGGATTGTGATTTGTGATTACTTTTTGAAAACTTCGTATGAAATACAGTTAAGACAATGAAAACACTGTCGCGAACTAAGGCTGCACTTAGCAGTCTTTTTATATTGAGAACAAAACCAACCGCCTCTGAAGTTCTAACAGCGTACTTGAAACAGTGCAAAGAACCGCCTTGGACTTCATATTTTGTAAAGGTATTATTTATGAAAACTGAAACATTTGGTTATTTTTATAGTTTTAAATTTCACAAGAACTCAATTAAGCTTCCTTCCACTAAGAGAGTATTTACATTCTGCAAAACGATTTTTAGGTTACGTGAAAGTCTCGTAATGACTACGTATTAAAACCTCATTTTGGCGCGAAAACGGGCGAAGGAATGATAAAAACGTACTATTTTGTTGTAGTACAGTAGCGTTAGAAATGACCAGCGTGGCATGTCGAATTTCAACTGGAAAGTGGGAAGCTCCAACTACCACATACTGAGGACTGGTTGTTGGCCGTATATTAAGTATCACTGCTCCAAGAAAGCTGCTGAGGATTTGTCAGGGTCAGATAAGCTCATGAGAGCAATCAAAGTTGTTAATTTAGGTAAGTAAATAAAGGAATGTGTGTGGGTAGTTGTTATATAAATGTGTTTCACCTACAAGGCTGCGTCAGTGCATTACCTACTAAGGGATTTTGTAAAAATATTTTTTTAATAAAACATTACTCCTTAGGCAGTGCTCACCTAATTGTGGTGAAAGACCATTTCAAAATTCTACAATTTATCAGAGATTTCGAAACCTTAAAACCCAGTAAGGCACCTAGTCTGATTTGTGACCAGTCAAAAATCTTGTAAGTCACTTTAAACAATTCAAAACATAATGAAGTAGTTAAGCATTTTACTAGGCATTCGAATTGGCAATTAGTATATTGATAATAAACTATACTGACACTGAAAATCTTAGTTGTTTTAGTAATTTAATTAATCAAAAATTTTATTCCACATTTTCTAATGCAATGAATAACTCAAATACCTAGCAAATGCCTTGTACTATGTTTTGATTCTGTTGCCACAACTTAAGCACATAAGTATTCAAAGTCTGTAAGTGAATAAATAATGTAAATATAACTTTGATAATTTTTTTGTGACATCAATCAACTAATATTGTTGATAGAGTTTTCTATTTTAGATGGAGTCCTTTATACAATTTATCAAATAAGATACTTAATATTGTACCCCTCACTAAACATGAAGCAATAGAAGTAATCACAAAATGTTTGTTAAAACATTCTTACGACAAAACTAAAAGAGCTCCTCTTAATTAAAACTTAACTTATGGGACAGTATACAAGCTCATTCATATTCGAGCACACACGCACACGCGTCGCGCACACACTCACACATATACACACGCACAAACACACACACGCGCACGCACGCACATGCACACACTCATACACAAACACACACACACACACACACACAGAGTCAACACATAGCTATAATTTAGCTAATAAAGTTAAAAATAGTTAATGTTATATTAGGGGTTAAAGTATGAAATTGCCGTTTTATTGCAATAGGTTC